TGAAAACTATAATCATACAACATGACTTTTCGGCCCACAGGTGTTATACCAACCTCTTGGTGGTAAAGAGGTCCCTTGGGGTCCCAAAAGTTAGATTTAAGGATTGCCCTAAGCTTAGTCATTCTAAGGCTTTAGGAAAGGGCATAGCTTTCCCCATGATGAGCTAGTACACTGAGATGGGGTTGCAAAAACTAGTATAGAAATAGATAGGATGTACCTGACCTTTTGCAGCCCAGGGGAGCCACCCCTGTGTTCTGCTTCCATGAGGCCAGAAACAAACTCTTAGGCTCACGGGCATCAGTAAATCAGCCCTTTGGCTACATGCACCTCAGAGGGCTTTGGGAGGAAAATTTAAAAGGAAAAAGTTATCTGCAGCTTCTGAAAGGGAGATAAGATTTATGTCATGACTGTCCTCAAATCACAAGGGATCCTCGTAGATCTCCAAGGCCCCAGTGATAAATGCAGGAGGTAACGGTAGGGTCTCTCAGCTTGCCTTCCCTGCCAGTGAACCACGACTTCCGGCCCAAATTTCAGACAGAGGATGAGCACTTCCTACTCAGCAAGGGACCATATTCATCAGTTCCTCTTATGGCTGTGTTCAGAAAGAGATTCCAAACCCACATCTACTCTGTCCTTGAAAGTGTTTATAAGAACTTTTGAAATATCTCAGAAGGTCCTATCAAACTCTGAATTAAATTCAAGGGAACTATGATAAAAAAATTACAGTCACTGATGTCTTATAAAATTTTGCCACTTGAGAAAAAGCCACAGAGTACCACAAGTCTGCTAGAGGTAAGGGAAAGTTTTTCTGATTTGAAACACAGGACTTTGATTCGAATGTCTATGTCATATGCTACGCACATGTGACCTTAACTAAGTATCTCAAAAACCCACTATAAATTAATCATCAACTTTAATGGTTTCCTCATTTCAAAACACATTTGTTTTGTAAGTTAATGCCTTGAGGCCAAGATTTTAAGGTGACTACACAGAGTTTAAATGAAAAACATATCAGGAAACATATGTCTATACAACCGCACACACAAATGCTCCCACATACTTCTAGTTTCTCTGTTGTTTAAACTCAGAGTGGAAGGAGAAAAATTTTGTATATATTTGAGTCTTAGGGTTTGCTGACAATGGTAATTTTTGTTATTTTGGGAATCTCGTCTTCACCTTACCAGGACAAAGGTAACAGGAGTTAAACTTTTCAAACTTTCTCCCTTGCTTTACCAGTTTCTGTCTATGTGATTCCAAAAGTTTTCTTCAGAAGAAAAGGTCACATTGAGACCTGAAGGAAAAAAGGACTTTCTGGAAAGTCATCTAAAAGCTAGTATTTGTGTTTAGAATTTCCTTCATTTTTAAGTGTAAATTCCTTTGATTCTACAACCTTGTCATTCTCCTAAGTTCCCCTTCCAGGTCTAGCGATATCCTAGTTCACGCACTTCCCACAGGAAGAGACAGGAGCCCCTGAGGAGCAGTCAAAGCGACTCAGAGGGAGGCACGCAGGCACACAGAGAAGCGGGGCCTGGCTGGAGTATTTTTCCGTGACCTCCACCTGCAGCTCAAAGCAAGCTGAAGGCTGCAGCTTTCACTTACCTCCTGTGCAGGCTAACGAGGACAGTATAAGTCTTGCTAATGACATACCTGCCAACACATTGGCTACTTGGAACACAATAAAAAATTTAAATTTATAAGTAGGATGAAATTTTGCAAGGAACACCATTTTCTTGGTGTCCTCCCACTAGAGATATATGAAAGTAAATACAAGGAACATCTGGAGAAAGTGGTAGGAAAACACTGGGTAAATGTTTTACTCTTATGTCTTTTTAAAATTTTTCTTTGGTCTTTTTGAGACAGGATCTCACTATGCAGTTCAGGCTGGCCTTGAGCTCACTTTGTAACCCAGGCTGGCCTTGAACTCGCAACGATCCTCTTGCCTCAGCCTCCCGAGTGCTGGGATTATAGGTGTGTGCCACCATGTCCGGCTTACTTGGATATCTTAAACAATCTGATAGAATAGAATATTCACAAGGATGAAATTTTTAAATGCTCTTCATCTGTGCCTATGTGCCTGTCTTTATTAATGCTAAATATAAAGCAGCAGCATAATAGTATAGTTTAATGTAACATCATGCGGACTTATATAAAACATTCATAATAATCTACTCTCTGAAAACGTAAATAATCTTCTATTTCCCTTGGAATACAAGCACAGTCTGATATGTACCTAACATTTTATTTTATCTCATTTTAAGTAGGAATAAGCTTCTACTTCCCTAAAGAAATATTTGTTACAATTATTATGTTTTTGTTTTTGTTTTGTTGTTGTTGTTGCTGTTTTTTTAATCAGTATTTCACTCAGAGCAGAAAATAACAGTTTACCTATTGAATTTCTCTAGTTTTTTAAACTTTCACTTTGATAGGTAGAATGCCTTAAAGGAAAAAGATTACCTTAATACCTAGATTAAGTAGGGTTCATTGACAATGCCAAGCTTATTGAAGAACCTGGGTTAGTCCAGAGTCAGGCCAAGCCAAAATTCTGAACAAAGCATCTCATGTCTGTATGGTTTATACAGTAAACCCAGTACCTCTTTTCTTAGGTCTTTTCACTGGACTCTCATGATTACCCCTGAGAAACAGGGCAGGCATTAAGGCCTCCATAGAGCTGATATTTAGGTGCATTCTCCAGTCCTTCATTCTACTCGGAAGAAGCAAAATGCACCTAACCCACTGCAGAGGAGCACTGTCAGGGTGTGGTCACCTCTAAACACTACAGCAGAAAGGAAATCAAGACCGAAGAATTGGCACTGAGTAGGTGCAATATCTTCTGTCACTAACAATCTGAAATCATGAAGAAAAGCTGCGTAGTTAATCACTAAAGAAAATTTTTCTCTTTAGGATAACGATGATTATTCATTCATTTTCAACTCATTCAACAGACTATAGAGCAGAGCTCTTAATGGGTAGTACTCCAAGATCTGGTGCCAGGAAGTCAGAAGGGAACAATGCCAGGAACCCACCTTTGAGAAAACCTACATTCTTGTGGAATGTGCTAAGCAGTAAATAAGAGGGATCATCAAAAAAAGTGATCTGTTCTGTAAAGGAACTACACAGGGATATTTCTGATGTTTTTGAATGGGTGGGTAAACAGGCAAGCTATGACCTGAGGCCTGAGGAATTGACCATCCTAGCAGAGCCAAAGCTCAGAAGTATGAATGTCTTAGTTACTTTTCTCTCGTTGCTGAAATGAAATACCTGACACCCAAAATTAAGAGAGGAAAGGTTTATTTAGCTCTGAGTTTGTGGAGGTTTCAGTCCATACTCAGCTGGCTCCAAGGCAGAGTGGCACATGGCAGAGGAGCAACAGCTCAAAGCAGTATAAGACAGCAAAAGCAGCAAGAGCAAAAAGGACACAAGGGGGTGAAAGGGAGGAGCAAGCTCCTTTTCCTCCCTTATACTTTACACATGCTACCTGCCCCAGGGCGGGTGCAGCACTCACACTGCCAATGAACTAGACAATGAACCAATCACAAACTCTAGATTTAGCCACCTTGGAAAAGCCTGCCCCCCCCCCCATGACCCCAAGAGGCTCTAGGGGGACATCCAGACACAAACCATAACAGTGAAAGAGTAGCAATGGGGCAGGCCAACCTGATTGGACATGTTAACAAGGGTGCATGGATAGAAGCTTTGTCCGGTCATGAAGGATCTCAAAGCCTAGGGAAAGTAGCTGAAGTTTGCTGCAAATACAAAGAGAAGCCACCATGTTATTTCTACACAAGAATGAGGTCTCCTCTGATTTGAAATCTGCAAAGATCGCTCGTCTGCCAAGTAAGATGAAGGAGGAGTGGGAAGAGGGAAGCCAGTGAGGAATCCATCTGAAGAGCACAGCTCAGAGATGATGGAGGCCTGCAGAGAGGAAGCAGGGGAAACAAAGGAACCAGAGTCTAGATGTACTTTGAAAACACAACTCACGGAATTCATCAAAGGACTAACCGTGGAGGAGGGAGAGGAAAAGGAAGGTGAAAGGATGACTTTTAGGTCTCCTGGCTTGAGCACGCAGTGGTGGCAATGATTGTACAGGACTGTGAAGTGAAAATCAAGGGCTCTATTCTGAGAGTTAGGTTAGAGATGTCTGTAAGAAATCTAAGGGAACTAGATGACAAAAACCAGGTACATGAAATGAGAGCTTGGGACAAAGAAAATAGAAAACAGGAAGCTGTTGCAGGCACAGAGACTCAATTGGCATCAACAAGTATGCAGAGCTGAGAAAAAACTCTTGCTCTCCTGGGCTGGCCGTGCCCCTCCCTTTGGCTGTGATAAAGACATAAAAACACCAGGTGGAGGCCCAAACAGTCTAGGACGTAAGCCAAGAGTTGTTTGTTCTCTGCTCTACCTAAATTTAGGGTATAAAAAAAATTATTGTGTTCCCTCTTCTTGCCTGCAGGGTGGCCATGACCCAACTGCTTTCTGATAATGTTACTATGCCAACTAATTAACAGAAGGTCATGTGGTATGGTCTGATGCTTTGCTAAAAACTGCCTTTAAAACTATTGCTATGTAATAAAGCTTTGCTCAGAGCTCCGACTCTCTAAAGCCCTCTCAATCCGTGTCAGTCTGTTCTTGTGCTTCTTGGACCCCGCACAGCTGGACCGTGTCAGGAAGCCATCAGTGTGCGGACAGTGGGTGAAGCCTCGGGATTGGATGACGGTGCCTAGGGAAAGAGGAGTGAGGAAGGCTCTGGACTGAACCTGATCTTCATACAAGAAGCAGAAGCAGCAAAGGAACATGAGAGCTGCTAGCAGAAAAACCAAAAAGTCAATCTATGTGTTCGCAGAGTTTAAGTACCCCAGGAAGTCCAGAGGCGAAGGTAAGCAACTATCAATTATTTCAGACACCTCTGTCCTTCTGTCAGATAAAACAATCACCTTTATCAACATCATTGCCGGTACGTATGTTTTCAGAAGCTAGGATGCTTCCTACTTCAAAAATCTTACCTTTGCTCCAGTGTCTCCAACTCCACGTAAACCCATGGGCCCAGGTGGTCCTGGCAATCCTCGAGGTCCCTGTGATGATGTCATAAGGGACAGTGAGGACCTTTGTCCATGCAGTGCTCAGAAGGATGGAAGGAAGGACGAGGAAGGAAAAGTAATGTTTGCAACATTGCTGCAGTTTAAAGATCTATTATAAATTTTATATGTATTTATTTATTTTTGGTACTGGGAATTGAACTAAGGACCTTGCACTTGCCAGGCAGGTACTTATACCACTGAGCTATACCCCCAGCCATATAGATTTTATAAAGAATCAGAAGAGAAGGGCTCAAAGTTTCCCAAAACAAATAAATAATAAATGTTTAAGGAGATAGATATGCTAACTTCACTATTGCACTGATTTTATCCTTTTGCATTATAGACGTGTATCAAACCATCACACTATACTCCATAAATATGTAGCTATGCATAAATTAAAAATGAATAAAATTTTTTAAATAAATAGGAAAAGTAACATCAGTACTTACGGCCACACCAGGATAGCCATCGCCTTTGAGTCCAGGGGCACCCACTGGTCCCTGAGGTCCTTGGGTACCCTGGGTAAATTCCAAAACCAGATGATGTCATGAGAGTAAAGCATGAACCGTCAGGGAACACTTAAGCATAATGCCATTCAACATACCAAAGACAGATTTGATAAGTGCAAAGGAACGATATGAACATTTTTAGAAGAAAATCCCACCACATAGGGCAACCCCATATCTCCTCATGAGCCAATGCACTTGAGCTCAGTGGGAAGTATGCCATGAATGTAGGTGATATAGAGGAACCATTATGAAGTCCTCATAGGAAACACACTTCACAGGAATTATAAAACATATAGCCAGGTATGGTGGCTCACGCCTGTAATCCCAGCACTCAGGAGGCTGAGGCAGCAGGATCATTGCAAGTTCAAGACCAGCCTGGGTTACAAAGTGAGCTCAAGGCCAGCCTGAACCACATAGTGAGACCGTGTCTCAAAAAAAGGACATATCATAATATATTAAGATATAATATCATATTACAATATACTGCTAAAATTTTAATTTTTAAAATTACCAATTTTGTATGTTGTAAATCAGGAAGAGAAAAATGAGAAATTTGATAAGCATAATATAAAAGGAAGAATATATAGAAAATTTTGAGTGTAGGAAGAGGGAAGGAAAGAGATAAAAAAGAATCAAGACATGTTATGTACTTGTATCAACTTCCTATGGTGCCTGCAACCCTACACCACAAACATGTGCTAATAAAAAGAAAATTGGGAGTGTAGAATGACTATGTGACTTACTGGAGCATTAAATCAACTGTCCTCATCCATAGCACTCAAATCATACGGTGAATAAATAAACCCAAATGAAAACCTAAATAGATTAATTTCTTAAAAATTTATAGAGCAATAGGACACTGATAGTTTGTGTTTCACATGTTAGGACTATGGAAGTATTGCAAATATTGCTAAGTGATATTCTTAAGCATCAAAAGCTTTCAGTAGCGGCCAAAATTATTGTACTATTCACATCAACACAAATCTGAGATGATTTCTTAAAGTTGCCTGGTAGGAAGAACAAAGTCATAGAGGACGTGAATCCTGGCACACCCCTAACTACAGGCAACTAGGCGCTTTGCCAGAGCAATTTTTGGACTATCCCAACTATCTTTACAGTGGAAGCTCTGAACATTCACTTACGAGATTTATCCCCAACGCAGACTCCTGTTCTCCCCATGCTTACAAACAAGAAGGCCCAAAGCAAACTAAAGCTATCTTGGCAATGTTGAAAAGAAATTTGGAATCAAAACTCACTTTTCAATTTTTATTTCTAAGTTCTAAGCCAATAATTTTTTTTTTGGCACCAGGAATCGAACTCAGGACCTTGCACGTGCCAGGCAGGCACTTCTGCCACTGAACTATATGTCCAGCCCCACGCCAATAATTTAATAATTATTGGCAACTGTTATTGATTAACCTCTGGTACACACAGGGGAAGGAAAAAAGCATGAAAACACTCATAGTTTGCAAACCTTTTTCCTAAAGATTTTTTTTTTTTTGAGGTATGGTCTCACCACGTAGTTCAGGTTGGTTTTGAACTCACTATGTAGTCCAGGCCAGTCTCGAACTTGTGGGGATCCTGCTGTCTCAGCCTCCCAGGTACAGGGATAACAGGCATGCACCACCACACCAGGCTTTCCTAGAGACTTTTGTCCGCTCTCCTAAAAACTAGTTTGTAATGTCTAATATTAACAGGAAATAGTAAGGGTAGGGGCAGATTTTATTTTGGACTCCTCACAGCATTTCTATAGATGAAATTCTGCCAGCTGCTCTTTCTGCCCTGGATTCAAGGAAATGTTCTACAAAATGCCTCACTTTGAAAGATCTCTCTCATTAAACAAAAAATGAGGGCAAAAACTAAAATCTGCTGTTTTGAAATAGGCATTAGGACACATCTGACAGTTCCTGAAGCAGTACGCAAATTGAATGAATGTGCCAAGTCTTCTCTCAGACATTTAAAGGGGTACATGACCTCTGAGACACCTAAAATTAATGAATTAGGGAAGAAAGGCATAAAGAGTATCGTTGGAACCTAGAGGATTGGAAAAATCCTTTGCAATCCTGGCTGAAGAGGCAAACATCTTTAAATACCTCCACCTACAGTGTCCAGTAATCACCAGCAGGGAATAGGTGGAGGCTGGAACTCCAGCAGTTTGTTTACTTCTGTTTTATCCCCATTGTAAAGAGAAGTGTAAATTCAAACAGATAAGTATAAATCATGGATGGTGAGCGCAGTTTTCAAACAATATGAAAGCTGTCACTCAAATGTAATGGACCGAGGTCATATTTAGTCTTCATACCACGAAATGTGGTCTTTTCTCCCTCAGCTGTCTCCACAGTTGAGTTCGGGGTACATCAGGATCTGGGGAGTGAACAAGTCTTCCAGTTCATCCAAGACTTTCTCAGCCACAGCTCGGAAAACCCTGTACCCCAGAAATCTTTCTCTCACAGTACATAAGGGCACTGTCACTCCAGCAGGGAGGACTGTGAAAATAGCAAGATCACCAGAGGACCTCCCACGAGAGCCACTCCAACTCGTCTCTGTTTTGTGACAGATTTTGCACTGTATTTCACTTGAGATATGAACTCAAGTTATCTTCTTTTTAAGTCTGGAAGTCACTGGTTTGAGTACTTCACTCCTTTTCTCTATCTCACTGAAACAATTTGATAAGCAATCACAGAAGCCAGCTTCAGAGCTACATAGCAATGCGCTATTCATTTAATAAGAAATGATCACTCCTGAAGCCTGTTGTCATAGACAGAGATACGTTAGCCAACAGCTAGGAATACGGTGAGTGCTGCATTTTGCCGCCATGATGGGTGTAGAGTGGGGAGGAAAATGATGATTTATGGCCGTGCAAAACCAGGTAGGATTGGTTTTACAGTGGGCTGGGTCCTCATTTAGTACTTTACTTTTCATCTGAAATAAGTGAAAGGATGAACAATCAAAGCGGAAAAAACTGCTATCCAATAAAGTTTCCAAACTCAAGTTTTTGGCGGCAGTTTTGCATAACAGTTGTGTTTTTTCACTGATAAGTGAAAGAATCAATTGTCATTTAAAATCAAATCACAGGCTTTGCAAAGAGTATTTTCAAACACTGTCTAGTAAGCAAAAGTTGAACCATCGGAGCTACTGCTCCCCACAAGTATGAAAAAGAAATTGTTTTCTTCCTTTTTGCGGGGGGACAGGGTCTCACTGTGCAGTTCAGGCTGGCCTTGAGCTTACTTTGCAGCCCAGGCTGGCCTTGAACTTGCAGTGACCCTCCTGCCTCAGCCTCCCGGGTGCTGGGATTACAGGTGTGCACCATCACTCCCGGCTTTTTTTTTTTTTTTTTTTAAGAAACAGAATAGCTCTCTTCTAATATTTAGTTCATCAATGAAGAATCTCTACAAGTAGCACAACCAACTTACGAAGCGTGATGGTCTGGTCCTTGAATGCATTCAAAGGACCATGTGCTGCGGCTGGGTCCCCTCCTGTCACACTGTTTAGAGGTGGAGGAACCCTGAAGAGGTGAAGCCTAGTGGAAGGTCACTGGAGCTGCATCTTGAAGGGGACCCTGGGACCCTGGCCTTTTCCTGTTCCTCTTTTGGCTTCCTCATTACCATGAGGTAAAAAGACCTCCCCAACTCAATCTCCCACCATGCTATTCTGTCATGCCACAGGCCCACAGCACAAGGGCTGAGTAATCATGGACTGCAACCTCCAACACCACAAACCAAAGTAAGCTTTTCCTCTTATGAGTTGACAGTGTCAGGCATTCTGTCACAGTAGCAGAAAGCTGACTGAACACATTAAGTATAAAGTCTATCTTCACATATCAGGACAAAAAAAGAGCATGAATAATCATACCTTGGGTCCTCGAATAGAAAGCCCAGGTTCTCCTTTAAATCCAGGCATCCCAGGTCCTCCTCTGTCTCCCTGTACATTTCAAATAACATTCACAGGCTCTAGGTTTCTTGAGAAATCACAGGGGTACATAGCAAAAAAGGAATTGCTAAAGAGCTCGATGTATCCTTCTCAGGCCTTGGGAGAATATATTCTTTCAACAAATTTGAGAGAAATTCCAAATCCTGAGTAAATAAAACCTATCAATAAAGACTACTACAGCCAAGTGGGGAAAACCTAGAGAAATAATATGTAGAAAATCCAAGCCAAATGCATAGGCTGAAAGAATGCCTGGGAGTGCTCTTAAAACTGAGTACATTCTTTCTACCTCACTTTTCAACTCTATATCCTAGTAGACTCTTCTGAATAAATGTAATGAAGTTCTTGCCTGCATTAGGGTTTGGGGTTTGGGAGAGGTAGCCCAGGGTGAAGTGAAAGGATAAGGATCAGGACTGGTAAACCTGGTTTGTAGCCCTGACTTTACTGCTGGCTTTTATTCTGTTGAGCTGTGAAGTGTCAGGATTCAATGAAACCATTTCCCAGGGCTTCTCCAAAAGTAAAAGAGAATTCCCCAAAACATATACCTTTGGCCCAGGTGGTCCAGGAATTGCTGCTCCAGGCATTCCAAAAGGGCCCATAATGCCCGGCTCTCCCTTGAAAAGAGCAAAATACTCGTCACATTTCAAGTAGAAAAACCATATACGGGGACTGTGCTTGGAAAAGGATAGAAATGTCTGCAGATTTTATATTAGAACCTTGGTCTCCTTTTTAAAGACCAACTTGAAAATAATTTGAGCATCTTCTGTAAACCACTGCGGAAGTTATCAAGCCATAAGATTTTCGTGCCTTTAAATAACTATGTCTGATTTATTCCTGAATGAGAGGGAATTTTTACCTCTTGTGCACCCTTTACTTGCTAATGAAAAAGGGTGCACTCCAGGGCTGGGGATGTGCTCGAGTGCTTGCCCAGGATGCAAGAGGCTCCGAGGTCCATACCAGCCCCGCCACACATGCACACACACACACACACAAAGGTGCACACTGCAGTGCATGATGCTTCTTTTCATACTGCATGCCAGGAAGCTCAGAGAAAAATACTCTGTTCAATTATAACAATTTGCTTCAGCATAAATTTTAGGGTACACTTCTAGCTTCTAAGTCTTTCCCTTTATTGTTTTAAGGGCCCATGTGTCACGCCATATCTATTTGCAATCTACTTTATCTCACATTCTTTTTATTTTATTTTATTTTATTTTATATGTGTTTTTGAGACAGGGTCTCGCTATTCAGTTCAGACTGGCCTTGAGCTCACTTTGCAGCCCAGGCTGGTCTCAAACTCGCAACGATCCTCCTGCCTCAGCCTCCTGAGTGCTGGGATTACAGGCATGCACCACCACGCCCAGCTCACATTCTTTTTAGAAGTGGAGCTCATAAATTAAAATACAAGTCTTGAGTAGAAAAACTAAACAATCTCTCTCTCCCCTTCTCTACCTCACCCACTTCTTTCTCCCTCCCTGCACTTTGGTACCTAATACTGAGTCTCAAATGTTCACCCTGGAGCAATGACAACTCCTCTGTCCCATCTGAATCTGGACAGCCACTCTGACACTAGCAAGTACAGGAATTATCAACGCATTTGGTAGATGTCCAGTCAGAGGTTCCAAGGCCCACAGATGTGATTCTATCATTTAAAGGCTGAGCCCAGAAATTCGCATTTTCATGACGCGCCTGTGGTGATTGGGGCACAAGCCCCATCACCACACTTTGGAAAACACTGTGGGGAAGCAGTTGCCATCTTACCCTGCAAGCTGCTCAGAATGACCCCTTGGGACATAAGCAGAAAACATAAGACTTCTCTATATAATATCCATCTCATCTTTTAAATTTTCCATAATTAATGTAAATTTTATAACATGCATGACTGAATAACAATTATAATTCAAAAATAAATTTATATTGGTGTGTGACGAAAATGTATAGGTGTGTCTCCAACATCAAAACAAGCAACTACCTTGACAATAACAATACGTAAAGTATTAACCATTGTTAATCTCCTATTATCTTGTTTTGAAATTCTGTATCAGTGAGCTGGGGATATAGCTCAATGGTGCAAGTGCCTGCCTGGCAAGTGCAAGGGCCTGAGTTCAATTCCCAGTACCAAACAGAAAAAAAAAAAAAGAAATTCTGTATCATTCTTTTTATTGTTTTTTCTCTTTCAAATAGAAAGTATATGTATAGTTGAAGATGAAAGATAATAATTGTTCAGTAAAAAGTAAGGTAGAAAAAAACAGCTGGGAAACTAGCACTGTACAGTAGACATGGGCGGACCAATGAGGCTGCCTCCTGGGTTTTGAATACCCTTGGCCGAGAATGGTTCCTCATTTTAAATGGTTGTAATATAAGTATTTACACAATAATGTCACTTTTGCTTCTTGGCTCACAAAGCCAAAATATTTACTATCTGGCCCTTTACCAAAAAAACACAAAAACTGGAAGACCTGGTTAGAGGCTAAAGTACATTTGTGTCTCTAGGTTCTCTTGACTGATTAAACCCTCTCTGCTCCTACACTTAATGTGTTCTATTTTTTCAGAGGCCAATTACTTTTAAGATGTGAAAAGTATAGAAGAATAGAGTTTTCATGCTGAGTGTGGTGGGCCTGTAATCCCAGCACTCGGGAGGCTGAGGCAGGAGGATCGCTGCAAGCTCAAGGGCAGCCTGGGCTATAAAGTGAGTTCAAGGCCAGCCTGAACTGTATAGTGAGACCCTGTCTCAAAAAGACAAAAAGAAAGAAAAAAGGAAGAGTATAGTTTTCTTGTGCACAAAACCCATGAATTAAGGTGTGATTCAGCTTTAAAATATGGCAATTCTTCATCTTGAAAAAGCAGCTTTATTTCAAGACAGAAAAGTATTCACTGTCAGAATAAGTAGGACAAGACGTAAACTAAAAGATTCTTACAAAACAGAAACAAAAAATTTAAAAATAAAATCTGATTATGTGCAGGGAAAAAAAGAGTAGTACATAAAGAATCACCCCTGGTATTATGACTAAAACAACACACTGCGTATATGACAGCATCTCCCATAATGCACTTCTCGAAATATGTGAGGCAGAGAACACTTATGAGAGACACGCAGTTTCCCAGGGACCAAGAAATCCAGATGTGTAACAAGCGGCCCAGACGATGCTGCGTGACACTGACATTTCAGAATCACCAGTCTAAGGGTGGTGCTTTGCTTGTACCTGCTTATCTGGCCAGTACCATTTTTCTGCCTAAATTTTGTTTTTTAATCATCCTTACACATACTCCTTATCTTTTTTCTTACAGTTGGCTTCTTTCTGGAGTCATAAACTCTCCCAATTGGCCATTTCTATTTCTTGACAAACTCAATGGCCTTGACGTTCTCCCCTGAGGATGCATAACCTTGCTTGCCTCTTGCACCCTCCTCAGCACCCTGGTTTGGACAATTTATCAGGACTGTATTTTCCCTTTCATAGGAATGATTTTCCCCTCCAAATAGCTCCACAAGTTGAACACTTACTAGATGCCGGGGACCTTGCTGCGTTCTTTACTAACTCTCTATCTTTAGGACCTTGTGAATTCAATCATTTTATTATCTTCTTTCTATATTTGCAGTAGCAGGCTCTGAAAGGCTCAGAGCAGAACCAGGTGGGGGGGGCGCTCCCCAAGCCTGCTCTGCACCCTCACTCTGCTGCCTCTTGGTCTTGGACTTCCGCTGTTGTTCAGCAAAATGAGATGATAAAGAAATTGTTCATGCTATGGTTCCAGCTTTATCCCAACTTGATATTTGTGGCTGATGGACATGCAGGCTCCATTTCAGAAGTGTAAACATTCCTATGAAGACTGCAGACTTTGCACAATGACTTCATTCCATTCTATTGTGGTCTGGGAATAGAAGGATTCCTACAGGATTGTTTTTATTTGAGGGGGTTTTGTTTTGTATTTGTTGGGAAGGAAACAAGTAATCAAATTTGCAGAGAAAATCTAATATTTCATTAAAACCAGACACAACGTATAATCTCCCCGAAGAATAAATGAGAATATAAGAAACATACCTTTGGCCCTTCAGGCCCTGGAAATCCCCTCTGTCCTTGATTTCCTTTACTCCCTTTTTTTCCTTCATCCCCCTGACAAAAATAATTATAAAAATATAAATGTTGGGTGAACAAACCTTCTCCTAACCTAATAATCACCGCACCAGAGCCAGATTCTCAACAAACGCCAATTTTAAAATTATATGCCTGAGTACAGCTTATTTGTGCTGGTTTGTCAGTGTTCTTGGAAAAATTGGATGGCTTCAAAATTGTTTAGGGTCCATCATTTATTCAGCATGATTTACTTTTTAATCTAAATTCTGGAGCTCTCGTGGAGATGGTACTTGAATTTACAGTTCTGTTATACCCTTGGTCTATTCACAGATGGTTCTAAGACATCCACAGGTTCAGAAAGAGATCCATCTATGCTTTCCATCCTGTTTTTCATTTCTCATCCTATTTCAGTTTTAAAACATTAAAAAAAAAAAAGGGCATTTTGCAAGCCGGAGCCCCATTTCTTCCTCTGTGGGAAGTCTAATTCATTCTCCAGAACGATGCCAGTAATCTTCTGAAAGCTGAAAGCAGAGCAAGCAACTGCCTCCCGCCTGTTCCCCGGGGGTTGTAACCTGCAGGGCTCCCGTAGAAGGAGTCTATGACCTGCAATCAGAAGCTCCACAGCATCATGACACTGCCTTCCAGCTAGGGCTCCACGGGGAGGAACGATACCCAAGTGCCGCCCAGCTCAGCAGAGGAATCGCCCCTTGGGGTTTGCAACTAGGGTCAGTTGTACATTCACAATACTAATGACTGAACCGTGACTTGCAAACTTGAGCTTCACAATCACCTGGAGGACTTGGTAGAAGACAAAGTGCTAGGCTCCCCAACCACTCCTGCCCTAGAGCCCAGTAATGTGAGGGTGTAACATTTCCAGGTCACGCTGGTGCCTGGGCTAGCCCAGGGACCACCCTGGATTATATCAGGCCTTCAGCAAAACAGATGCTTCAGGAAGAAGAGGTGGACTCTTGAGGAATCCACAGAGATGTAATTAACATTGACATTACATTACATTACACGAGAGTCCACACTAAGGGAGACCAGGGACACTGGTACTGGAATACCTGAGCATCTGAGTATCACTTATATCAGTATTATCTGAAGAACCAATGCATGACCCCAAGCATTTCTTGTTCCCCATTCAACTTACTGATGGAAATCACCCCAAAGACAACAGGAAAACTTAACATGGCATCATGGCCTGCCTTGAGTAGGTGACGTGTTCCTACCACGCTTCCCCAGTGGCCTCCCATAAGCCATAAACTACCGCGAAGCTGCAAATCTAGTAGCCTCTTTTTATGGTGCAAGTTCTCTTAGATTATTGGTAGCGTCTACTATCGCCCCTTGGTTTCATCTGGAACCCCAGCTCCTGGTTCCCTCTGACACTCCAGGATTATTGTGCCCGTGCTGTGCTGGGCACTTTTTTTCCAGCCACCTTACAAGGCGGGACCCGAACTTCAGGTCTCTTTCTCAAAGCTACAGTTCATTTTTATTTCCCAAAAATATATTCCAGAAAAACATTAGTTCTCCTGAATGTTAATAGTTCAGTATTCCTGAAAGTATATCATGATGTTAAAAAAAAAAAAGTATTTCTTCTCACCTCATCTCCTGTAACAAAAGGACATGTAAATTAATACATTAAAATGTTTAAAATTCTATATATATAGTTACATTTCCATTTCTCACCTTAAGAGTTAGGGCTCAAGTTCAGTTCATATTTTTATAGGATAGTATTAAGCTAGCAATTATTATTTTAATGGAATCATAAGTGGAATGCCAAGTAAGTGTACAGATTTTATTTTTGCTGTACTCACTGAATTCATGCAGACCTTTCTATGGACACTGGTAACAATATGTGAAAATTACAGGAACTTTAGAAGGTTTGGTTAGGTCGCTTTTCATCCTATTGTGTTGACATATAAAGATGTTACTCACCTAGTATTTCTACAGGTCATAAAATAAATTTATGCCTATTGTTAACTGAAATTGCATTTTACTTTATCTTATTATTTTTGGGTACTAAAGACTGAACTCAAGACCTCGCACATGCCAAGCACATGTTCCACCATTAAACTACATGTCCACCCCCCCCAAATGCCAGCAGTATTTCTTATTGTCTGAGACTCTGAATATCTGAAGAAAATTTATGGGCTTTCAAGTTTCCGGGATGTGTCTTAGGGCTTCTTTTTCTACTTATGGGTTTTTTAAATGTCAATCTTCCCATTTATTGAGAAAACATGTGTTGAACTCTTCTTTGTCCTGGGCCTTATGATAGATGTTAGGAAAATGGAAATGAATAATACATATTTGATGTCTTCCAAAGGCTCACAAGACAGTATCCACAGTTTTACTCCAGATGTAAACACATTTGACATAGCAAAGATATCAATCAGTTTTCTTCCAAGTAGGTCCTTCGGGTCAGGAACAAACACAGACAGCCTGCCGCCCCCACATACAGTCATTTGCATACCTTGGGGCCGGGCTGTCCTCTCCCAGGTGGTCCCTCTGGGCCTCTGGCTCCCGGAAACCCCGCCTCTCCCTGGAGGAAATGACACTGATGTCTCAGCTGGCCTTCCCCAGGCAGAATGCTTCATCATCCCCTCTTGTCTCCTCGTATTGCCAGGGGATTCAGCTGAAACCCTCCAAAATAGACCAGACCTTCACTCCAGTATCAAAATTAATTTGGAAGCTTCTCAATGAATAAATTAACATTAAACTCCGGTTTAACTAGAGCAGCTGAAATATCATGAGAAAGTCCAATTTCTCAGCCAACTTCCAAAGCAATAAGCTCACTTTCTTTTGGCTCTTAATTCACATTTGGTAGATTTTTTTTTTTTTTCAACAAGAATGACCTTCAGCCTCTCCATCTGCTGTTCTTCAGTACTTTTATTGAAAAATGAGTATTTCAAATGTTGCCTCAAAATAATTCAGGAAATCTTTACAGCGGCCTTACTTGCTGAATGCATTACAGACTTTCCTTTTGGAAAGGGGGTTGAGGGAAGGTGTTTTTTTCTTTTCTTTAAATTTAAACTAATGCGCTTTCTAGAAATCCCGAGGTAACTAGATTACTGGAAAATATCATGGCCAAATTACCAGTGGGATATAAGACACTAGAGTTCTTGAGTTGGTGATCTCTTTATCTGGGATAAGTGAAAAGGGAAATTTTAAATTGTGTAAATTGTTTTTATTAAAGGCACTGTGTTCCTGGACTTAACTGGAGCTCTTTTAGGACCAAGATACCAGTTTGATCCATTAGTTTCTACCGGAATAACATGAAAGTCAGCGTTTGCAGTACCTTCTTCCCTGAGGCTCCATCTTCTCCCGGCACTCCTGGTTGTCCTGGGAGCCCTATTGAGCCTGGCTCCCCCTAGTGGACGAACAAAGATTTTATTTTCCTGAAGTTCATACTTCACGGGCAACTAACTCCATTGTAAGGAACTTGAATGTATCTTACCATGTTTGATCAGCGCCTCTGGCAAGAGAGATCTGATTGGTAATTAATGTTAATTAAATGACTGGACCTTCAGCAAATTACCTAAATTCTATGGGCTTCAGATTTACATTCAGCTGCTGTGAGTTGATGTGATCCCCAAAAAGTGAACTTAGAGGGCCTTTGTAGATATGAGCAAGTTGAAAGGAGGTCATCAGAGTGAGCCCGATTCAGGAGGCCTGGTGCAGTCATCTGAGAGGAGAACACCACGCGAGGACAAGCAAGAGAAACACAGGGAAGGCGAAGGTGAAAGCGAGGCAGCTCGAGTCAGAGCGCGGCCAAGAGCTCGCGAGCATGAGAGAAGCGGAGAGGAGACCGGAAGCGTTATTCTGCATAGGGTCTGCAGACAGCAGGCCCTTGATTTTGGCCTTCCAACCTTCAGAACCGTGAGGCAATGCAGTTCTTGAGCCACTCAACTTGTTCTTCATTATATCAGCACTGGGAAACTAGTACGAGTGAAATGAAAACTGGAGCCCTGATGCCATTTCCAGTTCTAACATTCAATCTTTCTACGTGCTTGCAAGTTAGCGGAAGATTAAAGAGGAGTCCCTTAACATATTCAGGAAAAAAAAAAATACTACTTTCAAGTAGTATGAAAGTGTTCTCACCTTATTTATTAAGAGTACAACATACTGAATTAAATAAAAGTCATTTCAACTAAACTAAAAAAGTTAATGGAGGAAAAAAGCACAGCAAAGCTAAAAATTAGAAGTATAGGATAAAAATGAAAGAAGAAAAAGATAAAATTGAAAACAAGAAGATTCCTAAAACAAAAAGGAATCTTTTTTAAAAATCTAATGACAATAAGTAAAACTAGTACAAATGATGAATATTTTATGAGTTTTTTTTTTTTTTTAGTCTTTTTGAGACAGTGTCTCGCTATGCAGTTCAGCTGGCCTTGAGCTCACTTTGTAGCCCAGGCTGGCTTCAGACTCACAATGATCCTCCTGCCTCAGCCTCCCAAATGCAGGGATTACAGGTGTGCTCCACCATGCCCAGCTAGGAATGATTAACATTTTAAAAAGAAAAGATACCAATAAATAGTACTAGGAAAGCTGTCATAACTATTTATATATAGTAAAATTTTTAATGAGCATGGAAAATTTCTGTGACTGTTTCAAATAAATTGAAAAACATTAATAAATCTATAATCTTCAAAAAACATAAACTATTCAAATGACACAAGAAATGAACAAGCTAAGAAACCAATATCATTAATAAATTCAAACAGTGATTTAAAATCTCTGCCTTTCCTGCCAAGGCAATAGCTTTAGTTGGTTTTACAGTCAAAGCTTACCAACTTTTAAACCTTTTAAGAATATTCACTATGTTATGCAAAGATTTCTGAAAAACTGAAATGGCTGAATCTCTGCAACTTGATATGACCTATCCATTTCATTCCTAGGTGCTGACCCAAGAAAAATGTAAACACATGTCCATAAAGAAATACATATCCATAGCAACTGTATTTGTAATGTGCAACACCTGGAAACAACCAACAGTCTATCAACAGGCAAATGGAATGGATAAGTAAATTACAGTTTCCATAGAACAGAATACTGTTCAGGAACATAAAGAATCGAACTATTCATACATCCTACCAAGTACACCTCAAAGGTATTCTGCTGAGTGAAAACAAGCCAGAAAAAAATACGAAGCATGTGATTACATTTACATGCAATTCTAGGAATTATAAACTAATGTGTATTGAGAGATCAATGACAGGTAGACCTTTGGAAAGCACAGCAGTAGACAAGAAAAGTTAGCGAGAGGGCAGGAGGGTTTTACAGAAGGATACATGATTACTTTTGTGTATGCCTTTGTTATTTTAGTCCTAGGAGAGTTTCGAAAACAGATGAACACAGCTGAACGTGGTGATGCACACCTGTAATCCCAGCACTCAGGAGGCTGAGGCAGGAGGATCGTTGCAAGTTTGAGACCAGCCTGGGCTACAAAGTGAGCTCAAGGCCAGCCTGAACTGCACAGGGAGACCCTGTCTCAAAAAGACAAAAAAAAAAAACCATACAAGTGCCAACATTTATCAAATTGTGCAGTTTAAATATGTATACTTATTGTATGTCAATCATACAGTGAATGGTTATTTTACATCTATGTAGAAATCCCCAAAAGATTAGGCAACTGAATTATCATAAAAATAATATTTTGCAATCAGTTGGACTTATCTCAAAAGTACAACAATGATTCAACATTGGGAAACTTTGTTAATATAACATGCTAACAGTTAAAAGAAAACTAATGATTATTTAAATAAATGTAGAATTTGAGGGCCAGGGATGGAGCTCAGAGGCACATTGCCTGCCTTGCAAGCATGAGGTCCAGAGTTTGATTCCCGGTACCAAAAAAAAGGGGGGAGTGATAAAAATCCAAGTAAGCAGCATTTTAGGCAAATGAAACAGAAAAGAATATCCTTGCCCAATAGAGGGCATTTCTCAGAAAGCCTACAGCAAACACCACAATTTAGAATTAAATTTTAGAAGCATTTTTTTTTGGTCTTTTTGAGACAGGGTCTCCTATTGAGTTCAGGTTGGCCTTGAGCTCACTTTGTAGCCCAGGCTGGTCTTGAACTCACAACAATTCTCCTGCCTCAGCCTCCCAAGTGCTGGGATTACAGGTGTGCGCCACCACGCCCGGCTTGACAAAACTTACTTAAACCTGTCATAATCAAGATCAGAAGGCAACAGCACTTAGAGATATAAATAGACAAAAGGAGCAGAGTAAATAGAGAGCTTGGGCACCAATTCTCACAAATACAGAAAGTCGATATAGAACCTAGTTGATCCTGCAAATCAGTACAGCAGGAAGGGACTGGGCAGTAACTGAAGCCAGGCGCCTGATTATAAACATAGGAAAAAATCTCTACATGGACCTACACATGAAAATAAACTCCACGTGCATTTTTTTTAAAAAAACTAAATTTAAAAAGCAAAAACGGGAATTTTCAGAAAAATACATGAGACTATCTTTATGACTGTCAGCTCAAGAAATATATTTAAATAATATTTTTAAAGCATGGCAAGTAAACAATAAGTACAATTATGGCCTAGGAAAAGATATTTGTAACCTATACAATAAAGGATTAACAATGAGATAGACAAAGAATTCTAATGAAGAAGAAAATAAACCAACCTCAAAAAAAAATGAATAGGGGCTGGGGATTTAGCTCAGTGGCAAAAGCGCTTGCCTGGCAAGCGCAAGGTCGTGAGTTCGGTTCCTGGTACCGGAGAAAAACCAAAAAAAAAAATGAATATCCATAGGAATTTACACAGTGAAAAACCTGAGGTGCGTTAGTCATGTGCAACGCTGTTCATTTAATTATCAGGGTATAAAAACTGAAACAATGAGCTACGCTTTTACACATTTCACATTTGGAAGGATGTAGGGAAGGGACATCATCACCTACTGCTGGGAAAAGGACAAAGTGGCACCACCCTTTGGACAGGATTTTCACAGTATAAAAAGTGAAGATGTGTCCTCTATGATCTCCCAGGTCCGCTTCTACCAATCAGAGATAGCTGTGCTCTGACTCACCCGAAAGGAAAAGCAGGACGCTTATGGCATCATCGTTGGCAAAAGTAAAAACTGAGAAGCAATTTAATATCCATCTTTGGGAAAATGGGCACATGTAAAATGAGATATTATCATACAGTACAATACTACAGAGCAATTAACATGCATGAATTAGAGGCATACAAATAAAACATAAGGCTAAGTATAAATATACTGCAGAATGACACATTAAGTATAATTTAACAGCACAAAAAGCAATATATGGTTTCTGTGTAAAAACATATGTGAGAAATTACAAAAACTTTGGATGAATGATAAATGCCAAAGTCATGAAAATGGCTGTGTCTGGGGAGGGAAGGGACAGCGATGGGACTCAGGATGGCAGGGCCTCCTCCTTCTCCTCCTCCTCCTCCTCCTCCCGCTTCTCCTTCTCCTCCTCCTTCTCCTCCTTCTCCTCCTCCTCCTTCTTCTCCTCCTCCTCCT